CATTAACGCAGTCTTGGACATCTCTTAGAACAAGGAAAGGATTCTGTCTCAGCTCATACTTAGGCCTTTGTGAGGTCAATCCTGAGGTGTGGACACCTCGACAGGCACCGCCAGCACTACCAGTACCACGTCAGCTTCAGTCACATCCACCATAACAATGAGCCACTGTCCCCCAGATGGTACACTGTTATGAGGAGTTGGAGAGACAGCGGCAAAAGTGGGGAATCTCAGTGTATGCAGAAAAAAAGGATACCTCATAATCACCGGCTACACAGTAGAAGACAGGAAAGTCTCACCATCCCTAGGAGTGAAACCTGGAATGATGAGGCCTCTCAAACACCTCCTCTACGCTCTCCAAGAGCAAGACTGAACTCGGAGAATGACTGGAGCCACCGTTGTGTCTGTGGTGTCAGGCATCAAAAGGTAAACACAATAAGATGTATTATTTTATTTAGAAAAAACACCCCTTCTCAGAGCTAACCAAATCTTTAGAAAAGAGACTATTCAAGTTGCCAAACTATTTATATATCTGTGTGTGTGTGTATTTGTCTGTAGGTAACAAATAGAAGTGTGTATATAAACACTTCATTGCGTGTATAAGTGTATATCTGAGTGCGCGTACGTTTTTTGTGTGTGCTTTTTTTTTACCCTTTTTTCCTTAACAAACCTTGTCCCTACACTTGTGAGTGGTTGCTTTGAGTCTTTTGCTCCAGACAAGGTCGAATGCTTTTTCCATATCAAGGAAATAGCAATGAGGCGTTTGGGCCGTTTTCTTGTGACACGTTGAAGGCTAGTTTGACGTTTTGTTCTAGTCGAACTAGTTGATCTAAGGTCGATCAGCCATTGCAAAAGCCGCTTTGGTTGTCTGAGAATGCTCCAATTGCGTTTAAATGATGTTTGATACGTTTATTAAACATCGTCTTAATGATCAGTTGGCGTTGGTGAGAAAGATGGGTCGGTATGAGGAGGCTTGTAGTGGATCTTTCCCGGTCTTGTGTATGGGTGCGACTATGGCTTCTTTCCATTTTTTAGGTATATTGTCAGTTGTCCAGATGTGGTTGATGAGGTCCAGAGCTAAATCAGCCATGCTTGGTCGTAAGGTTTTATATATTAGTATAGTTTATTTGATTTGTTCATAGGACGGTTTTCTTATTTGGTCTCAGCGCCTGACGCCACTCGTTTATCGTAAAGTAGTCATTAAGCAACGATTCTTGTCGCAGGTAGCGTGGGTATTGGTCTTGCAACAGATATGGATATATGTTTTCCATCTGTTTCCTTTACAGGAGGATAAGGAAAGGAGAAAGAGGAGAATGAAAAGGAAAACAAGAAAAAAGAAAACTGTAGTGAAAACAAAACATGCTGGTGGAGGAGAAAAAAAATTAGAAAACGAAGAATCTCCAAGGCACTTTTCAGGGCCACTCTATTGCCTCGAAAAGATTTGCTCTCTTGCTTTAAATTTTTTAGTCTATGTTTTGGTATGATAGATTGATATTCATCATCAATCTATGTGTATTTGTCTACGTCTATAAAGATGCATGTCCCGCCAAGCGATTTAGCGTTTTTGGTTTCGCTGTCACTGTTCCGCCCGACATAGGTCAATCACTCGTAACATTGTTGCCATGTCCATGACGTCTATTCCATTCCCATTGTCCCTATACAAACCCAACCTATGTTTAAATTTCCCTTGTCCGTATACAGTCCCAACCTTTATCTTGTCCGTAAAGTGGCCCAGGTGTGTCTTGTAATGGATATTCCGATTGTCCGCAAAGTGGCCCACTTCACTACTATTACGGATTCAAACATGGCAACAATTAATGTGACTATCATTTTTACGTTTCTATTTTTCTTCTTAGAAAATAAATATATTTTTTCACAAAGTCAGACTCTCATACTCAAGTGTGCCGTCCTTGGCAGCTACCTCGTTGCTTAATGGGAAATCAGCCATTGCTGCCCTAAAGTTTCGTGCATCTGTTTTTGTTTTCACAAAACAGTTTTTACGATCATCAAATTGTCATAGTATGTTTTATTTTTCTTGAGTCAAAATACATTTGCAACCAAGTCATTGTTCGTCGTGTTTCTCTCCGAGTTAAGAACTGTACAAAACCCTTAGGTAACAAGTGACGAGTTAAAAACTGCACAAAACCCTTAGGTAACAAGTGACGTCAGCGTACAACTGATGAGACACCAGAAGTCGCTATATGACACATGAGAGCGGCCGAGTTGATAAAATGAAGAGAACGGGCCGATAACAGACTCGTGGGACACAAGCACATACATCACTGGGATGGAATGACATATATTTACAGACTCAATTTGTGTCCTGTTTATTATTTGGGACTTGAAACATAGTAACCTGTATCGCAAATGCCAAATATTTGATGGAGTAATTTGAAATGGTCTGTTATGTCGAATACACCAGGCAAGTCAAAGAGGGTGAGGTTTTTAATCTCTCCACTATCCAAAGCGCAGAGAAAACCCCTAACTACTATCAAAATGGCAGTTTCAGTATTATATGATACCAAATTGTATTGTTTATGCTTTGTGACGTGGTTGTTGTGATAAAAAAGCTTCGCTTTGCTTAAGATATATAGCCACAAAACCCCACCCTCTCATTCCGTAAGGTTGGGCATACTAAGTATGAGTTTTGTGATGATATATTCACACATAAACCACTCTGGTGGCCTAGTGGTTAGAGCGTCCGCCTCAGATGCGGAAGGTCGTGGGTTCTATACCCGGTCGATCTGACATACCAAAGATTTACACAAATAGTAATAACAGCTGCCTCACTTGACATTCAGCATTAAGAGGTTAGTGTTAGGACTGGTCGGCCTGGTGTGACTGAGTGGGACTTCATGCTACATGTCTGGAGCATGAAGTCCCAGTGTTAGACATCACTATAAACTGCCACAATGCAGACATCGTAGCGATATGACCGAAAAATTGTTAAAGCTACGTTAAAAAAATCATTATCACAACACATCACTTTAACAGTTACGTAGCAACCAGCCAAATAACCTATGAGAGGGATACAAGTGGACGAGCCTGACCCAGTAGGTTCCCCAAATTCCCATTGTTACGACTCTGAAGTTTAATTGTGTGTTAAGGAGTGAATTTTGTATAAATCTTTTTATTTTATTTTTATTTCATTAAATGTAATTATTAATATAATTATATTAATATCGTCTAAACATGTTTTTAAACTCTTTGACTTGCCTGTTGTATTCGACATATTAGACCATGTCATATTACTCCATCATGTATTTGGCATTTGCGATACAGGTTATTATGTTTCAAGTCACAAATAATCAACAGGACACAAATTGTGTCTGTAAATATGTCATTCCATCCCAGTGATGTATGTGTTTGTGTCCCACAAGTCTGTTCTCAACCCGTTCTCTTCATTCTATTAACTCAGCCGCTCTCATGTGTCATAGATCGACTTCTGGTGTCTCATCAGTTGTACGCCGATGACATTCATATGTACAGATCTGACTACCAGACTGACGTTGAGGTTACCATCCCAGTCACATTAGCCTCACACCAGTCCGACCAGTCTTAATGCTGAGAGGCAGGCAAGACAGCTGCTAGTACAAATTTGGGTAAGTCTTTACTATGACTCAAACGAAATTAAAGGACTAGGGCACCGGAGCGGTCCTACTGGCTGTTTAAAAATTATTGTTTTATATTTTATTTATTATTGTAAGGATGATTTAATTCCTTTTTTTAGTATATGATTGATGGGTGTATTTTCGGTTATCGTGTATACAAACTGGCCTTGCTTCAGACTTGTATCTATCAAAAATGGTTATCTTCGCTTGGTCATATTTTCAATTCCTGGATATCCCATATTAACTGTAATAAAATATCGATAATACTTTATTTTTACATTCTTTTATGTTTGGTATTCATTCGTTGCCCTTTCAAAAACGGGTACTCTCCAGTCTGGAAAAATTAATTTTCCCTACTTTAATAACTGTTGCAGAGTGTTTTAGACTATGTCAGGCTGATTTTTCTATTATATGGGATATTTTGGTCGGCTGCGTGTTTAGGTCATGTACACTTTCCAAAAGTACAATATCTAATGAAATTTCAGCCTTTGTACGTAAAAGTAACACAGAGGTATGCCAACATTCTTTCTGCTGTGCATGTTGATAATGCAAACAATTTCATGCACATGTCCCTCTCTCAAAAGTTCTTAAGCTCTGCAGAGCGCCCTCTAGAGTACTTCAATCACGCGTAAGACTAAGTTGTTTGTTTGGGACACCTTGTCAGTGGAAAATATTCAGAGCTGCCCTTCACAGTGAGAAAATGACACTACACAAGAAGTTGATGTTAGTTATGGTTAATTATATAAGCTACAAGTTGTACAATAGTTTAATATAAACAGCTTAATTCAGATCTGATACTCATACTTTCCACAAAAATCATTGGTCAGTTTTTATTTATATCTTTATTGTAGAAACAATCACATTTATAATGCAATCTGTCTGATGAAACATTACCAAATAATAATGTCCACTGATACCTAAAGGGTAAACGTATATTTTGTTCCCAAACCTAACTTGATTTATTGTTAGACCACTGGACCTACTTCACTTTGTTGTAGGTAGACCTGGCTTTATGCAGGCATAAATCAACTTATATCTACTTTTGGCGAGAGCACGTGCTCTCTACTCTTTCATAAGCAAGCCTTTGAGTTCGGGTGTTGCTGGATGTAGCGCCATTTTCAGCACATGGTGGTAATTATATCTGGTGGAGGAAACATCAGGGGAATATCACCGACCCAAAGGAAGCTACTGGCAAGCTTTTTCCCATAACCATGGGACTCGAACTTCCACAGATAGATATGAGATGTGTGAGTAATATGTCAAGGTGAGCGCCTTAGACACACTGCCACCCATTTCAAGTTTCCTTTTGAAGAGTACCACTTTGCTTTCTTAACTCTAGTCTACCATTATTTCGTTATAATGTTGATGTATCTCTCTTTTAAGTTTATAACTGCTCTGGTGGCCTAGTGGTTAGAGCGTCCGCCTTGGATGCGTGAGGTCGTGGGTTCAAACCCCGGCCGTGTCAGAGTCAAGGCGTTTGAAACGAATGGTAATAGCGCTGCTTCGCTATGCGCTCAGCATTAAGAGGTTAATTAGTGTTAGCACTGGTTGACCTGATATAAGGCATCATACTACAAGTCGGTGGCATGATGTCCCATTGCTAGGCATCATTGTCAACTGCCACACTGCAGACATTGTAGCGATATGACTGAACACACACACACACACACACACACACACACACACACACACACACACACACACACACACTTTAGGCTTATAGAACTATGAGCACACATAAGAAAACACACCTTTTTAATTGTCAAGGCCAGGAATTATACTTTGTTAGGTGATAATATTGCGCAATATCACTGTGATCCAATCCCGTCATTAATGAAAATGAAAATTAATATAATAAGATGTACTTTTGACCGATGCAAAAAGCTATTTTTTTTTCAATACATTCTGCTCTCGTTACAATTACCAAACTAGTTAAGAATGTTATCTATATAAAATTCAAATGTTTCCATAAGTTCAATCTGTATTTCATATTTTTGCATTTATTTGTCTTATTTTTGTATTTATTTAAGTCAAACCTTCCAGTTCCATTATAGGACTAGAATCACTACAATATCCCTTTCATTTTTCTATAGTTTTTATTGCAATATGTCTCTTATAAGCAAGGAATAGTTTATAAAAATTTTTTTATCTCTTATCCACTTAAATATTTTTCTTATTGTCATGGGTCTCCTAGTCCATTCACATTTACAGTGCAGATTTGTATTATATTATATTCTTTCATGTCATCTTTTTAAAGTGTGATTGTAACAGATGACCTCAACCAAGGATATTTTCTTAAAATAGAGTACAGCAACAAGACGTGAAATAAAATAGCATATTCCTCAAGAAGCACAGCAGAGGTGTACGACTGTATATAATAATAAATATAAGACTTGTGCTTGTATTTTAGATCCATGTTGTGGTCTAATTTATTTCCAATTTTTATAATGATATAGATATAATGTTGTTATTGTTGTTGTTGTTGTTGTTGATGATGATGATGATGATGATGATGATGATGATGATGACGATGATGATGATGATGATGATGATGATGATGATGATGATGATGATGATGATGATGATGTTGTGGGTTTAACCCATTTTCAGCATATGATACATGGCGTCCGGTTTGATGGAGGGAGAGCCCGGGAAAAACCGCGGGAAGAACCACTTACCCACTTTAAACTAATGGCAATCTTTATCACATACTTACGGTGGCCGAGCCCGAGACTCGAACCAACGCAGACAGAGATGAGATGTGAGTGATCTGTAAAGACGAGCTTTTTAGACAAATCAGGCAGAGGGAGTCCCCATATTTATTGTAATATTTCTTAAAATCTGTACAAATACTTTCAATCAAAGATAAATTACTTTAAACGATGCTGTAATTACTATGGATATTATACTAATCCATCAATCAGTAATGCTCAGTTTATATCCTACCATAAAAAACGCATAGGACTGAATATTCTATTAATTTGATTATGAATGAAGAGAAAGGAAGGAGTAGGGTGGGCTTGCTTTCTATCACATAGGTGTGGGGTGGCGTGAACATGCTTGCATTCTAGAACAAATATATGAGGGTTTGTATAATGCAAAAATACACTGAAGTATAATTGCAAATATTTACTAAGCCTTTGCATTAATTTCAAGAGTATACAAATTCATTGTCCTGCTGCTTGAGACAACAAACAAAAAAATATGGGTAACTACTTTTATTGATGTGAAAGGTCGATCAGGAAACTGAAAACTGTTATTACGAATATAACTGTAAAATTGCAGAATGACAATTTTTTTTTTTTTACAACGGAAACGTTTCGTTACTAAATTGGCACTAGGAATACACAGAGCATAGTGCCCAATTTATCTCCATAAAATCCGTACTTGACCGTTGGTGATTTTTATTAGTTATATGCCAAACTAAGGCATAGGTATTCGTTAATCATTGTTGCGTGAAGTAAACACTTATTACTAACAAACCCTCAGGGTAATTCCTTAAAGTTAACAGACGCGCAAACCATTGTCTTTTATGGGCACCATATATTATTGTAGCAATTTCTTTTTCTTCGGATTGACCCAGATTGACCATGGTTTAATATTATGCTTCTCATTGAACCAATCACAATCACTGTTGCATAGTTTAATTAACATGTGGAGTCGCCCAGAAAAAGTACTACGTAGATAGTTTGCAGTTACTTCATAGCATATACAACATTCTGCAGGGCGCGGACATTTGGAGTGGTTTTTAAAGCCACACTCCGTGATATAAATAAGCTGGTAAAAGAATCCCGCTGGTCGTTGTTTACATTTGAGTAGCATACGACGAGAAATTATGTACTGCTGTACTAAACATATAGATAAGTACCACGGCAACTTCGCTGGCCATAGCTCGGATAACCCTCTTTACGGGGAACATTGACTAGCGAAGATGGTACTACGGTATTACGTAATAACAAATTAATGTCTTGAACCTGGGACCGGACACTTTTTTTTTAATTAAAAAGAATCCAATCTTGCAGTAGCTAGAAACATTGTCTGGCTCAGCTTTATCTGTTTATAGCAAAGTAACACCATACTACACCCGTTAAATAATTTGAGAAAAAATATGCTGTCTTGAGATCAAAGCATAATATCAGATCCAAGAATAAAATCGCAGCCCCATTAAATGCCCAGTACCATATAGTAGATGAATTTGCTATGTATATGTTAATTATTGTAATTGAAAACCTATAATTAGAGCGAATTGATTAACTGATAGGTATGAACGATATAGTGCGGTTAGTAGAGATGAAGCGCTGATACTTTTAGCCTACAATTTACTATCCACGATAGGCAGTGAAACTGGAATACCAAGCCCAGACAAGATTTTTATAGGATGGAATCAGAAAAACATAAAACAAGCTTACTCAAGAAAAGAACACACATTTAGTAGACTTGAGAAATTGTACAAAATTCAAGCAGAAAACAACTGTTCTGAAAATTTAAGACTATTCACAGTTGTGCAAACAAATGCACACTCTTAACACATTGACATAAGCTGCTAAAATTATTTGTTTAAACTGAAAATTGTTCCGGAATATATGGCCCAAATATCTTTCACACCGTCCCATTTGACGTTGTCATACATGACACGTGTCAAACATGTGACTAAAGGATTTTAAATATAATTAAATTTGTATTATTCAAAATTAATTTGTGATAAATACAGCATTTTGTATAATAATAATAATAATAATAATAATAATAATAATAATAATAATAATAATAATAATAAATTATTTTAATGGAAATGAAAATATGCCGTTCATTTCATTCAGTTTGTGATAAGGTTTCATTTATTACTGAAGGAAACTATAGATGAACCGGTACAAGAAAAAAAGTTTCGTGGAGGGTAAAACTGGAAAATATCTCCGGAAACCGGTATACCGGTAATACCGTGCACCTCTATTTTACATGCCTATTTTAGACACAGGACTAGGTTGAACTATAACGTAACGATGTGGTGTGCGTTTAACACTAACCTGTTAATGCTGAGCGCCAAGCGAGACAGCTGTTAGTACCATTTTTTTGGTAAGTCTTTGGTATGACTCGACTGGGGATCTAACCCACGACCTCGCGCATCTGAGTCGGACGCTCTAACCACTAGCCACCGGAGCGGTTATAACGTAATGGTAATGGAAATGATGTCAACTCAGATACAACAAAATAAGGTTAAGTTTCTAGTCCTGAATTGTCCAAAGTTTTGGAAATCTGACGGACTGCAAGAGTTTTAAATAATTGTTAGATTATCCACAAAAGAGGCTGGAAATTCAGTGAGCATCTGAATTGTAGAGTTTTATAAATATCGGTGCTAGTTTACTGTTGACTGGTTTAGTCCCGTTTCGTACAAGATGTTGGTATATGCATTAAAAGTTATAACAATATACTTTTGAAATAAGATACCTGCACAGGAAGATGGCTGTTTATTCATTTTTTAACACACAGAAGTAAACCATAGTTATTCTACTTCATCTTTTTGTTGTCGCCTTTAGCATATCTTTCTGACCCTGTTTCATATACAGTCAAAGCACGGGATCGGTGTATTATCTTCAAGATTTCTACTCACCACGGGAAAAAAGTATGCGACAATGCTCTGCATTTTACGCTCCATGTAATTTTGTTAATATTTTCATTAAGCTCCATCGATACAGTCGTATTTACAGTCGTCATCATTGGTGGGTGTTTTTATATTGAGTTGTACTAACCACAATGTATAAAATTTGTTCACGCAGACCTTTTAACTATCGTAATTTAATCTGTTAAGTCCATAAATGACACGTTTGCTTTTAGTCATGAGACTTGAAAAAGAACATTAACTTAAGAACTAATATATACACGCATGAAATGTAGACCACAGTGACCTTTTTTTCTTCCTCTGGTGACTTTTCTCAATATTTTTATTGTGTTCAAGCGGAGCAAATGAAACATAGAATTCAGCACTATTCTTTTTTCTCTCAGTGCTTGCAACAAAATAGTGATATAAATTATGTTGTTTTCATTTCTTTCGTGCACACATGAAACTTAATTCAAAACATTTCGATTGGATATGGCCGTTTTGACTCAGTTAACTTACATATCTTAATAAAGTTTCACCCCCTTTTCTTAAAACCCATTCCTTTCCCCTTTTTACAGAAAACAATCAAAATTGAAAGAATGAATATATTGCATTCTGAGCACAATGTCGAGTCCACTCAAGATGAATAGCTTTTTCGCCTAGATAGGAAATGATGTAAAACTTAAAATCCCGTTTCACAAGTATTTTCGCACACGATATATCGGTTTTGTCCTAAGCACATATATATACGCTCCAAAAAAGTTTTTGTTTCAAATTAACTTCCTGCTCTTACGTCCATTCTTGATTCAACTCTAACGAACAGGGTATGGTCTACCATATCTGATATATTCAGATCAACATATATTGATATATCGGCATATATTTAACTCCATCTATTTCGATGCCCAAAGGACCTATGCAATGATAAAATTGCATGCATACGTCATTAAATCCGGGGTAGCATTTAACATAAGAAGTGATATGGACCGTGCTATGGCTATCGTAATGTATGTGATAACGTTACAAATGGAGTTTAACTTCACTGTGTTCTTCTGAGAAAGCATGTGCCCAGACAACCAATTCCACAATATATTCCATCATAAGACTTATAATGAAGATTGATTATATATATTTAACCTTTGACCCCCACCCAATAAATATTGCTATTGATATGGTCAGGGGAAGACTCTTACGTGTGAATCAACTATCAAAGAAAATTCCTACTCATTAAAAACTATTAACAAAATATGAAGATTCTTCGTGTGGAACTTATTTATCCTTGGCTAAACTTCAGATATTTTTGGATATTCACAGACTGTAATGCGAATATCTCTTTTATGGAATTTTTTTTCAGATTGCCATTTATATAAAAATGTGTAGAAGCTGTGGTGATTCAGGGGTTCGTGTTTTGGACATGTAACTAAAAGAGTGTTGATTCAAATACTGCATTAACCAGGCCGGGTGGTCAGTCGTAGTGTCTCTGATCAAAAGTCCATAGTCCAATTGACTTTCATAACCTTATGCATGTTGCAGTGATTTTTATATAAAATCAGCCAGTCAATCAACCAAATAACAAATGGAACAAAGTTAACTATCCTCCATGAAAACCGTAAGTCGTTGTTTGACAATTCACATTGCATCTTAAATGTAAACTAAGTATATTAAAAAATTAAGTTTATTCACGTAATTATTGAGCTTGAACTACAAATATTAGTATGCAGCGTCACACACGGGGCGGTTAGTTTCACTACGCCCTTGAGAAAGAAACTTATTCATTAGGATCAAGTCTGCTTTAACCAATATATGTATATATTATGAAATGAATGAATTATACATTTTTTAAACAATATATGCATCAACATCAAGCGACTTAGGCGAATTCACCTTCCCTGTCTAACCTGAAAACATTGACCTCTGACCTTGAAGCTGAAGATAGGACTCCAACCAAAATAAGCAAATGGCCCTTGGTGATGTTACACAGGTATACAAAGTTGCACAGTTGATCAGAGACTGGTACGATATGAGAGAGGGGACAAGGAAATGTGACCGAAGGTCGGACAAATATACGAACGGACTGATGGATGAACTGAAACGCAAATATTTTGTACATCATCATTGGAGAAGGGCCGTGGACGTTAAAAATGCTGCGAGCATGACATGACTTTAATACCGAAAAAAAAAATATTCTAATGAAAGATCAACAAGTGAGATCATTACTCTTATACAAATATGCTTATTTATCACAATATTTTTGACACTTTCAACCACAATCTTGCCGCACCCCCCCCCCCGCTAGTTTAATCTGCGCTCGAGCAAACGTCATGCAGCATTGCCACTGTGGAATTTTCCGCAGAACTCAATCGTGTGAAGCAGACTGACTAGATGATATACGCTGCTTTTGTCTCATCTCAAAGCTCTTAATTTGAGCCTTAGCAAGTTCCCCATGGTCATTGGAAAGAATGAGTTAAGGAATAAAATTTATCCCCTGGATTTCTCTTTACCCTAAGTTCATTCATTTTGCATTTGCTTTAAACACACAAAGCACGCATTACGTGTAGTAGGACAAATGACATGAAGACGTGGCATGGATTTAATTGCTTTGTAATCCTAGCGTAGAACGTACAGAGACACGGTATTATATCTTAGACAAACTGAGTTCTACTGCGCGTCGAGAGCTCTGGTATATAGCATTTCACACCAGGAAGTTGAATTAGAGCGGAAGTTAACATTGAGTTAGAGTGTACGGCAGTCACATGATGCACTGAACTATAAGGTTTTCTTTATAGATATGTGCAAGGACACTGAGATATCCAGCTGATATACTTACATATATTTTACAGACATGACGACGACAACGAAAAATTATCAAGGTAAGGACAACCTGAATTTCTTTCTAATACATCTTTGGCTGTAAAAACCTCTCAATGTTTTCATTTGTATGATTTTACGTGTTTTATCAACATGATTGTTTCATGCAGGAATCGACTGAAATGTTTAGTTTTTGTTACGATTATTAGTACAAAATTGTAAATCGCTAGCTTTGAGATAGGTTTAACTCACAGTTCACAAAGAGAAGAAAGGTTACCTAATTAAGGAAAAGGTTAGAAAAGGAAACCACAAGAACTATTGTTTCAAATGAAGAAACTTTATAAACATTGTAAAATAAATTCTTTGATTATATATCGACTAATTATTTATGTGGCCCATATGGATAAGAGGTGGGGTCTGAGATATGCACGCGCGCGCGTGTATGTGTTGGGGCCACATAGCCAAAAAGAGAGTTGTATTTGAAACTACTACACTGCGGTACACTTAACTATGATATTCTCTCGTTACGAGTTTCAACTCGATTGCCAAATTGACAATCATTATCCATTTATTTTCTCTTACCCACGAGATGCTGCCACAATGTGACAAATTGATGCTCTCCTGTTCCGCGTCCGGATACGCACAAATCTATCAGAACATCTGCAGTAATCTCTAATTAGCGTCAAGTAGACCCTGGAGAAACAGTAGCAGACTAGGCAAGTGGTATAGGCGATAAATCAACCAGTCGCGTAGCTCTTACACAACTGATAGTGTGGAAAGAAAAACTGTAGGACACATTGCTGGTAGCAAAATGAATAGTGAATCTGTATTTAAGTTTAAAAATTCCGTACCGTATTTATTATAAAAATTGAGTCTCTGAAATCTCTTAGCGTTTAATAGTATATGTGCATTGTTGTGTGTGTGGGTATGTGTGTGTGTGTGTGTGTGTGTATGTGTGTGTGTGTGTGTGTGTGTGTGTGTGTGTGTGTGTGTCTTTATTCAGTCTATTATAAATGTACACGTTCTTTCCGCCTGTCAGTATTTGTTTATTTCTCTTTGTTCATTATCCCCTTCTCTTAGAAGTACATATTTGCCTGGATAATATGTACTATAGTCATTCGCCATTGATTGCATGACTAATCGCCATTTCGTGAAAAATAAATAAGCTAGTCAATCGCTCATAGGTGCCGTCTGAGGCAGACATTTATAAGTCACGATCGTTTGTTAGGTTTGCTAGTTCCTCACACATATACAACCGTACTGTGACAACTCATGATTTCCTCCATGTACATTGCGTTTGTCAGTTAGACTGACGTTAATAAACATCATATATACATACTATTGTGATCCCATAAATTAAAACAAGGAAGAGACAAGGGAATTTCCTGGTTGTCAGACTTAAATTTACTTCACCGGAAGGGGGTGGGGCTGATAAGAGGACAGTGAGTGGATTTAGTGAATTCTAAGGAGCTGGACAGTCTTGGATATGACTTAATGTGCCGATAGGCTCGTAGTTAGTCATTTGTTGTTACTGTTTGTTTGTATTTATATTTATTGTTTTTGGTGCTTTTCATGTGTCCATCTTCCTATATAAAACAACCGCATTACATCACCGCACGAATCCCTTCTAGCATACATACATACATGCATGCATGCATACATACATACATACATACATACATACATACATACATACATACATACATACATACATACATACATACATACATGCATGCATGCATGCATGCATGCATGCATGCATGCATGCATGCATGCCATGCCATGCCATGCCATTGATATACATTCATGCTGATTTCCAAAGAAATCTTGGTGATGAATAAGCTATATAACTTTTTAATTGCCCTTTTCATGCAATTTAAAACGTATGATGTATATGTTGTAAAAAGAGAATTGCATCGATTCATTTAACATACGTAGATGGACTGCTCCGGTGGCATTAAGGTCAGAGAGTCCGTTTTGGATTCGGGAGGTCACGGGTTCAAACCCCGGCCAAAGTAATAACAAAGCGTTGTAAAAATGGTACTAACAGCTACCTCGCTAGGAGATCGGCAATAAGAGGTTAGTGTTAGGACTGGTCAGCCTGGTGTCAGGATAAAGTGACTGGGTGGGACATCATGATACATGTCTGCGACATGATTCCCCAGTGCTAGATAACATTTTAAACTGCCACACTAAAGACATCGTAGCGATATGACTGAAAACTGTAAAGGTAAGTTAAAATTCCAAATAATCTTGTACTGAGGATATGCAATGTTTAATTCATAACGTAACTCGTACCATTTGACAAAAATAGTTTTCACATGACCTCATAAGCGTCCATAATTATTTTCCTCGAAACAAGATTCCTTTGAGCAATCATCCTGAGATAAATGATTTGAAGACATTTGTTCAATATTATTCCTTGTAATAATTTTGTTTTGCCTACACCAAACCATACTTTTATAAATTAATTTAAATGCAACCGGTGTAACGAATAATATAAACAGAATAAAGTATATTTCTAGGACCATATTTTATAACTTTACGCTACGGAAGTTAGACGCAATATTTGTCAGTGTTATGGTGGCGCTATGATCCCAATCTGTAATGATGTTTTGGTTATCGTTATCAAGGAGATTACCGACCACGATGTTACCATAAAATATCAGATTAACGGATGATTGTTATTGCTGTTATAGGGTTTAACGCGATTTTTTAAATCACAAGATAGGCTATACATGGTGGCCAGTATAAATGGTGGATGAAGATCTCGGGATAATCTCAGAAAGAACCATCGACCCACTAGATGCTATTGGCAAGCTTTCTCACATACCCACTTTGACCGAGCCCGAGACTCGAACCCACACAGACAGAGGTGAGATGGTAGTGATCCGTAACGGTGAGCTCTTTAGACCATTCGGCTACTATGGACCCCTCGTTGATGGATGGAATAAAATAAATATAAGCAAAGAGATAGAATAGAAAAACACGAGGCCCCGTATGTAAAATGAAACAATTTAATAGATTACATAAACAGTAGTAGGAGAAAGTAAGAATCCGAGCTCAACAACCCCCTCCAGACCTCCAAACAAATACAAAATACCTAGGTAACGTAATAGAAAACCTATTGCAATCAATAATTGCGTTAAGAATCCGAGCTCAACAAATACAAAATACCTAGGTAACGTAATAGAACACCTGTTGCAATCAATAATTGCGTTAAGAATCCGAGCTCAACAACCTCTCTAGACCTCCAAACAAATACAATAGAACACCTGTTGCAAAATATCTAGGTAACAGGTAAAATTTAAATACGTGATCTTCCAGAATAAGCAAAATGATGTGTCAGACTCAATTTTCCAAATCATTACGATTTAGCAGAGCGTGGCGATTGTGGACTAAATTACGCATTAGAATTCCAATAAGGTAAGTGGTATTATATAAAATTTTATGTTATATCATACTTCTTTTGATAATCTTTCTCATATTTGCTGATCCTCATGGGTAGAATATCTGTTAACATGTTGTCAATAATACGAAATTCACGTATTAAATCGTCCATACTATATTTTACTCCTCGTAGGTAAGATCTTATTTGATCAAGTAGTTTTTTGTAAGTTATAATTGATGTTAAGCAGCCGTGCTTTTTTATCAAAATTTTAGGTTCAACTTTTTTACAAGCTGCTGTAAGAGAAACACCAACACCGGATATGATTAACAAAAACGGGTTTAATGATATACCACTTGAAATTATGCCAGAACTAGTCATTAACAAGGGCAGATATGATATTACTCGAAGTATTTTGTTATAATATTTGTAACATTTTTTAACGCACCAAAGTTTTTTATGATAATATTTGTAGTATTGTATTAGTGCGTCAACATCCTGTTCTGGAATATCTTTTGAAATATGATTGAAATCAACTATACTTTTTTTCATTATAATATTTGTTCACATAATCTCAGGCTTGATTAAGTAACTAGTTGAGGTGTTTCAGCCACAAATTCCAGACAATACCAATATGACGCAGCAGTTAATTTTTTGTCATCTGCTATTAGCATAAAAGTTTCTTCAACATCTTTGTTTAACACAATAGACACGGTTCCAGAGAAATTATCAGTCGAGTGACGCCATGGAAATAATGTAAATATATTAAACTTTGCACTGCTCAACACGGACAATCTATACACACCAGTGACCTCTGCAGTATGTTTGAGAGTGTTATTTTGCGGCGACCAAGTAGACATTCCAGAAGCAATAGTATAGACAATATTTTTAATCTGCTTGTGAGGAATTTTAATTATACTTGTTTTCTCAATAATACTAGGAATTCCACTAATAATATCGTTGAGTTTTGTGTTAATATTATCGAGTGTAATATCAACAGACGGTGGACTTCCAAAAAATTCGTTATTGGTTTTGTTTATGTTTCTACGAAAATTTAAAAACGTGGTGATGTGATTAGTAAAATCAGTTTTGAACTTGGTGATTTCATTGTTGATATCATCAACATATTTCTTTGTTACAGCATCAAAATCAGATTCTGGTGTTCTAAGATTATTGATGCCATTATTGTTCATGTTGAAAAATGCACGCATTATACCGCCATGCGCCGACACGTACTTTGATTCCTGATCATCAACATATTTCTTAGTAGCAGCGTCATTATCCTCAGTTGGGTTTCCAAGGTATGTGATCTTGTTCTGGTTCATAACAATGTTTCCCGTAAATAAATCACCTGCTTTTCTAACATAATCGTTAACTGACCTACCCGAATCTTCTATCTTACCTTGATTGTTAAAAGTAACAATATTATTAGCAACTGCAGTAGGATTTCGTACTAGTACATCTGATAGTTGTACATTACTCGTCTTTAATCGTCCTTGTTTGTCCTGGAAAACTACAACTTCATTTGGATCTACACTTGCAACGTTTAACAAATTGTTGATTTCATTTTTGAGCTTATCAAGAGTCGCATACTTGGATAAGTCACCCTGGTAACCTTCTGTTAATAAATCTACTGCTAATGTTCCAAATTTTGTATAGTAGCTCATTATACATACCGTTCTACACAAAATTGTTGGATTAATATAACATAAAATTATACGATGGCGAAGATAATAAACTTTGACACCGAGCGATTGGTGAAGCATAAACATAGCAATGAACTTCCAGACTGTCATTATCTTATTGTTGGGCGAACTGGATCTGGTAAAACAAATTTGTTATTAAATCTTTTACTCAATAATAACTTTAACTATGATAAGGTGTATATTTACACCATCAACCCCCAACAAGACAAATACGAGTTACTAAGTGAGTATAATGATAAACTTCGTGATGAACTTGGCATTGGTGATGATATATTTTTGATAAAACAACCAGAAGAACTCGTTCCAGTGAACGAACTCGATTCGTCAGAGCAGAAGATAATCGTCTTTGATGATATTCCGCTAAACAATGAGGAGATGAACAAGATTAGATCATATTTTTCACTATCACGTAATAAAAGATGTAATTCTGTTTATCTTGCCCAAGGTTTTTATAATGTTGATAGGTTTATTAGGCGAAATACGGGTTGTTTCATATTATTTCCCGGACTAGATAATGTGGATGTGAGAAATATTGCAAACGAACAATGTGGTGATGTTACAAAAGATAAATTTATCGAATTATATCATCGAGCAACTAAAGATAGATATAGTTTCTTTTTATTTGACAAGCTAGCGCGTGATCCAACCAAGATGTTTCGTTGTTGCCTTGAGACGTTTCTATGATATAATTTTGTAAAGCGTATAAAAATAATGGACAAACATCAACAGAAAATCGAATTACTAAAAAAGTTTCTCGAAACTCGAGCGGCTTTTAAGAAAAAGGTGGAAGAAGCTCGACGTGGACAAGTTCAAGCAGAAGAAGAAAGAACCAAATTTTTCAAACCTGTTACTGAGGCAATGCTTGGCAAGCAGCCAGAAATACAAACATTATCTCCAGAAGAACTAGCAAAAATGAAAGAAAAAGGTTTGTTTGGTTTACTTGGAGAAAGATCAAAAGAAGAAACTGTAAAAATTGTAAACGAACTTGTAAGAAACATTGCTGATCCTGCAGCACGACAAGCTGAGTTTGACAGGCTAATGAACAATCCTCTTGAACTTCAACACGCAATAACAAGATTGACGGTTAATCCAGATGAGATAAGAAGTATGATGGAAAAATTATCAGAACAAACTGAGGAATTAGCTGAGAAACAAAAAACGTTACAAGAAAGTATGATAAAAATGGTACCTTTTGGAGAATCTATAAAAATTTACAGAAGACAAGCTAGGTTTAAAATAGAAGATGTTGAGTATGAAGAGTTTATGGAAAAATATGTTATCACTAATATTAATAGTATTCGAGATTGGTCAAAAGAAAACTATGATAATTTGATAGAAAAATTAGAAAGAATTGTAGAAGATGGTGAAAATGCTGATGATGATATTAAAGATGAAAAAGATGAAAGAAATATTCCAACATTACTCAATTATATTAGGGAAGGAATTATTGCTGAGGTTTTTCTTAAAACATCAGAACGATATCGAAATAAACCAGGAGGTTATAAAAAATGTTGGAATTTTAAAAAATTGTTTGATAGATATGAAAAAAAGCGAGATAAAAGATTACCGGAAGAAAGAACTGGAGGTGGAGTTAAAGTTTTTACATCAAACGCAGACATAGTCGATCGGCTAATGCTGTTGATATCCTCTAAAGAAGCTGGTAATGAAAGTGTAGAGATTGATAACGAAATTATTGATATACTTGATCATCTAAGATCGAGTGGATTACTAACATCATCCGAGTACGAAATTTTACACCGCAATCTTATCTAAAATATTAGTATAATGCAAACAACATTATTGCTTGATTCATCACAAATAACAGGAAACAGCGCGAATTTTACAGTAAATTACAACCCACCAATAGAACTAGATCCTGCAAAACAGTATGAGATTGGATTAATTTCTTGTACTTGTTGGAACG